CTCAGATGTTTACTCAGATGTTTGCTCAGATGTTTACTCAGATGTTTGCTCAGATGTTTACTTAAATGTTTGCTCAGATGTTTGCTCAGATGTTTGCTCAGATGTTTACTCGGATGTTTACTCAGATGTTTACTCAGATGTTTACTCAGATGTTTACTCAGATGTTTACTCGGATGTTTACTCGAATGTTTACTCGGATGTTTGCTCGGATGTTTACTCAGATGTTTACTCAGATGTTTACTCAGATGTTTACTCAGATGCTTTCATTTGGTTTGTAGGGAAGTCGTCGGTGCCGACGGTTCGGGTCAAAGCCCGGTACCAGAGCATTGTCATCTTGCCCATGGAGCAGTACAAAGAGTTCGCCGAGTACATCAGCGCCAACTACCTTCTGCTGTGCTCCACCCTGGAGGCCTCCATCAGTCTGAGAGCCAAGGAGGAGCTGGCTGCTGCTCTGGTGCACATCCTCCACAGCACCGGCAAGGCCAAGGTACGTAGCTCCACCCACTGTGATAAACTCCGCCCATTGTGATAAACTCCACCTATTGTGATAAACTCCACCCACTGTGATAAACTCCACCAACTGTGATAAATCCACCCACTGTGATAAATCCACCCACTGTGATAAACTCCGCCCACTTTGATAAACCCCACCCCCACCGTTCAAAGTCTGACACCTGTCCAAATCACCTGTGTTTGTTTTGTCCAGGACTTCCTGACAGACCTGATGATGTCAGAGGTGGATCGTTGCCGTGACAATGACCAGCTCATCTTCAGAGAGAACACACTGGCGACAAAAAGCATCGAGGAATACCTGAAGCTGATTGGACAGAAGTACCTTCAGGATGCCCTCGGTACACACACATACACACACACACACTCTGGTCACACTATTTTTCTGTATGTCTGCTAACTTTGTGTCATGTTAGCCATTCATACATGAAAATGTTCAGCTCATTCAGTGAAAAGATGTTGACTTTTGATTTTTGTAACTTTTATACTTTTTAACAAATTTACCTTTATTTACAGTTATTTTCTCCATACCATTAGTAAGAATAGCTAGAGTTCTCTATAAAGTACCTGTGACATCAATTTTTTATAATAAACATGAATGCATTTTTGGAAAGATAACATTGATAAAATATTGCAAAACTAATTTCACTCCGCTGAGATGAACAGTTGTTTAGATATTTGCATGTGAAGAAACAGGAAGTGATGTCAGAGGGGAATGTCTGCATGTAAACAGAGCGTTGTTACAACAGCTAACAACAGACTGTAGAGAAGAATCTGATGTTTATTTAGATTATTTTGAGTTTCTATCAAAGAGAGATGAAGAAGAGTTAAAGTTTAGATAGTATTGTTTTAATAAACAAAAACCAGAGTTTATTTTATGAAAGAGTTCCCCTTTCATGTCACTTCCTGTTTCACTTTGGCTGAGCCAAATTCAAAAGAAAATAGGCCAGTTATGAGACAAAATGTGTAAAATCATGTGTCCTATACCAATTTTCTTAAGAATAAATGTTTTTTGACTTTCTTTATATGAAGAATAGGCATGTCACAGGAACTTTAAACAGTACTTTATGAAATCTTTAGAAAACTGGCTATATTTGTTGGTGTTTTTTAAGCTATTTTTCTTCTTCTTTAGTTGCTTTTACTTTTTAACTACGATTCTGTCACTTCTATATAGTTTTTGCTACATTTCACCAACATTTTATACATGTAGAGTTTACCTAGCCTTTTGTACTTTTACCTTTTAGCAGGCCTTTTGTTGTTTTTAGTTCTTAACTAGGTTTTTGTGTTACTTTTGGGTTCTAGCTAACAGCTTTACAGCTTTTTTCTATCATTTTGTTACTTTTAGCTCTTAGCTATCATTCTTCTACTTTTAGCTACCTGTTTGCAACTTTTAACTTTAAGCAAGGTTTTAATCATTTTAACCTTTAGCTATACATGCCTTTTAACTATATGTTTGCTAATTTTAGCCTGTAGGTAAATTTAGCTGCTTTTAATTAAAGATTTTCTGCTTTTAGCTTTTATTTATTGTTTTGCAACTTTTAGCTTTAGCTAGCCTGTTTCTATGATTAACTTTTAGGCTAATGTTTAGCTACTTTTAGATTTAAGCTAGCTTTTAATATCTTTAGCTGTAGCTAGGTAAATGCATCCTTTACCTCTCATTCTGCTACTTTTACCTTGTAGTTTAATTTAGCTGTTTTTAGTTAAATATTTACTTACAGTATAGCTATGTATTATTATTTTTGCAACATTTAGCTTTTAATAGCCTTTTGCTTTAATTAGCATTTAGGCTAGAGTTTTGTTATTTTTACCGTTAAGCTAGCTTTTAATATTTTTAACCTTTTAGCTAGATAAATGCAGCTTTTAGCTATCCTTCTGCTATGTTTAGCCAGTGTTTAAATTTAGAAACTTTTAGTTAAAGATTTGCTAGATTTAGCTTTTAACTATTGGTTTGCAACTTTTAGCTTTAGCTAACCTGTTGCTATGTTTAGCTTTTAAGCTAATGTTTTGCTATCGTAGCTCACACTGCATTTATGCAGAAATTAAATTTTCCTCTTTTATTAAAATACTCCAAAACTCCATGTCAATCAATGTATTGTGTGTGTTTGTGTTTATGTGTGTTTGTGCGAGCTCAGGTGAGTTCATCAAAGCTCTGTATGAGTCTGATGAGAACTGTGAGGTGGACCCGTCTCGCTGTGCGACCTCTGACCTTGCCGAGCACCAGGCTAACCTGAGGATGTGCTGCGAGCTGGCTTTCTGCAAGATCCTGGACTCCTACAGGTGAGCAGAGGTGCGCACAGGTAGGCACCACTCACACAAGCGCCCGATGTTTACGTCAGTGTGTGATATGCTCCGCCCATTCAGGGTGTTCCCGCGGGAGCTGAAGGAGGTGTTTGCATCGTGGCGTCAGGAGTGCAGTAACCGCGGGCGACCGGACATCAGCGAGCGCCTCATCAGCGCCTCTCTGTTCCTGCGCTTCCTGTGCCCGGCTGTGATGTCACCATCGCTGTTTGACCTGATGCAGGAGTACCCCGACGAGCGCACGGCGAGGACGTTGACCCTCATCGCCAAAGTCATCCAGAACCTTGCTAACTTCAGCAAGTACGCTGAGGCTTTTATTGTGAAGGAGCTGAAAGGCTTTTACTTTGTGCATATTGTCTTATGTATGTTACCTGTCTGTGTGACCTGTCACCTGTTGCTGCAGGTTCGGCACTAAAGAGGAGTACATGCTGTTCATGAACGACTTCGTGGAGCGGCAGTGGAGCAGCATGCAGCGTTTCCTGCAGGAGATCTCCAACCCTGACGGGTTGAACCACACCGCCGGCTTCGATGGATACATCGACCTCGGCAGAGAGCTGAGCAGTCTGCACACCCTGCTGACCGAGCTCGACCAGGTAACACACCTGACCAGGTAACACATATGATCAGATAACACACCTGACCAGGTAACACATATGATCAGATAACACACCTGACCAGGTAACACATATGATCAGGTAACACACCTGAACTGATAACACACCTGGTCAGGTAACACACCTGAACTGGTAACACACCTGAACTGGTAACAGACCTGATCAGGTAACACACACAATCAGGTAACACACCTGACCAGGTAACACACACAATCAGTTAACACACCTGACCAGGTAACACACCTGACCAGGTAACACACCTGACCAGGTAACACATATGATCAGATAACACACCTGACCAGGTAACACATATGATCAGGTAACACACCTGAACTGGTAACATACCTGATCAGGTAACACTGACCAGGTAACACACACAATCAGGTAACACACATGATCAGGTAACACACCTGACCAGGTAACACATATGATCAGGTTACACACCTGGTCAGGTAACACACTTGAACAGGTAACATACATGATCAGATAACACACCTGACCAGGTAACACATATGATCAGATAACACACCTGATCAGGTAACACACCTGAACTGGTAACACACTTGTTAACACACCTGAACTGGTAACACATATGATCAGATAACACACCTGACCAGGTAACACATATGATCAGGTAACACACCTGATCAGGTAACACACCTGAACTGGTAACACACCTGGTCAGGTAACACACCTGAACTGGTAACATACCTGATCAGGTAACACTGACCAGGTAACACACACAATCTGGTAACACACCTGACCAGGTAACACATATGATCAGATAACACACCTGACCAGGTAACACACATGATCAGGTAACACACCTGGTCAGGTAACACACCTGAACAGGTAACACACCTGATCAGGTAACACACATGATCAGGTAACGCACTTGGTCAGGTAACACACCTGAACAGGTAATACACCTGAACTAGCAATGCACCTGACCAGGTTACACACTTGTCCCAACATGCAACATATCTGAAAAGGTAACGCAGCTGACTCAACAGGTAGCACACTTGATCAGGTAACCTAACAAGTAACACAACTGACCCAGCAGGTAACATGTCTACTTTAACAGGTAGCACACCTAGTTAGGTAACAAAAATAACTTAATTTAACTGATCTAACACATCAAACCAGGTAATGCACCTGACCCAACAGGTAACACACCTGAACTGGTAACACACCTGCCCCAACACGTAACATGCCTGACCCAACAGGTAACATACCTGACGAAACAAGTCACTCAGCTGACCTAACAAGTAAAACACCTGACTCAATAGGTAGCACACCTGATCAGGTAATACACCTGACCAGGTATTACACCTGACCAAGTAACACACATGACCAGGTACTAAACCTGACCAGGTAACACACCTGCTCCAATACGTAACATACCTGACCTAACAGGTAACATACCTGACATAACAAGCTACTCAGCTTACTTAACAAGTAACACACCTGAGGAGGTAACACACCTACTCAACAGGTAACACACCTGTCCCAACATGCAACATCATGTCTGAATAGGTAACGCAGCTGACTCAACAGGTAGTATACCTGATCAAGTAACCTAACAAATAACACACCCGACCCAACAGGTAGTACACCTGACCCAACAGGTAACACACCTGAGTCAACAGGTAACACACCTGGGTCTACAGGTAGCACGCCTGATCAGGTAGAACCCCTCACAAGACAGATAACACACCTGGATCAACAGGTAAAACACCTGACCCAACAGGTAACACAGCCGACTCAACAGGAAGCACACCTGATCAGATAACATAAAAAGTAACACAACTGACCCAGCAGGTAACATGTCTGATTTAACAGGTAGCATACCTGTTCAGGTAACAAAAATGTCCAGTTAACTTAACTGACCTAACACACCAAACCAGGTAATGCACCTGACCCAACAGATAACACACCTGACCAAACAGGTAACACACCTCGGTCAACAGATAATACACTTGACATTAACACACCAGAGTCAACAGGTAACACACCTAGGTCAACAGGTAACACACCTGATGGTAACATACCTAAGTCAACAGGTAACACACCTAATGGTAACACAACTTGGTCAACAGATAACACACCTGACATTAACACACCAGAGTCAACAGGTAACACACATGACGCTAACACACCTAGGTCAACAGGTAGCACACCTGGGTCAACAGTAACACACCTTACAGTAACACAGCTGGCAGTAACACACCTAAGTCAACAGATAACACCCCTGACGGTAACACACCTAGATCAATAGGTAGCAAACCTCGGTCAACAGGTAACACACCTTACGGTAACACACCTGACGATAACACACTTAAGTCAACAGGTAACACACCTGACCCAAGAGGTAACACACCTCGGTCAACAGATAACACACCTGACATTAACACACCTGAGTCAACAGGTAACACACCTTATGGTAACACACCTGACAGTAACGCACCCAAGTCAACAGGTATCACGCCTTACGGTAACACACCCAAATCAACACGTAACACACCTGACAGTAACACACCTGACAGTAACACACCTGACCCAACAGGTAACACACCCGACCTTACAGGACCTGAGTGGTAATCCATCCTACTTTCTTGTACATCCTTAAAACTCTGTCTCTCTTTTTGACTGTCTCTGTCTACCTGTCTCTACCTGTCTCTCTCTCTCTCTCTCTACCTGTCTCTACCTGTCTGTGTCCAGTCCTGCCTGTCAAAGCTTGGGCCTCTTCCTCGGATCCTCAGAGACGTGTCCACGGCTCTTGCGCACCCGGGGGGCATGGTCAGTGCTGGGGGCATCTCAGTTTCCTCCCCGGAGCCTCAGCGTGTGGTGTCTCCGCCCCCTATGTCTCCGCCCCCTCTGTCTCCGCCTCTTTCGCCTCCTATGGCAGCCTGTAATCCCTCTGTTGGCCTGCAGGGCGGAGTGGGACTGGATGGAGGGTTAGCATCAAGAACAGATTGTTTCTGTGGTGACCAATCACAGCTGATCAGGGGCAGGGCCTATGCAGATGTTGTTTACTTCCATGAGTTTTTTTTTTCTGTTTGTCTTGAACAGAAACTGTAAATATTCAAATTACATAAGTAAACGTATAAAAATATAAATACTTAACCCAGATTTGCTCAGGCGCTAACCATTAGCGGCGTTCACTTCCTGTTTCTGTTTGTGTGTAGTTGTGTCGACTTCACCAGACTTCCGTCTCCGACTCCAGAGAACAAGGATCTGTTCTTCGTCACTAAAGGATCCAGCCTGCAGCCTGCATCAGGTGACCTTTGACCTTTCAACCAATCAGCTTCCTTTGACCTCACTGTGACCTCTGACCTTCCCAATGATGTCATTTCCTGCAGGCATGCGAGGGTCCCCAGCTCCGAGTTCGTCGTACTCAGAGCCAAACGAGAACGAAGCGGCGTTTGAAATGACCAACGGTGGTCGGAAGGAGGGGGCGGAGCTTGCCAACGAGAGCCGCAGTCTGTCTCTGGTGGACCTGCAGGACTCCTCCCCCAGCGAAGGCCTCGACGACGGCCAGTGGCAGCGAAGGACGGGGCTCCTCCCCCTCTCCTTTCAGAACCCCGTCTATCACATGACCACCACGTCGCCCCGGCAGCCACAGCAGCAGCAGACGGATGCCACGCCCTCGGACGGCTCGGTGGGCTCGCAGGGAATCCCCGAGGACAAAGGCGCCGTGGCGGCCAAGCCGGCGTTCCTCACGCAGATGTCTGTGGGCATGGGGGGCGGCGAGCGCATGTCGGCCATGTCGAGCAGCAGCAGCGGGGAAGAGTATTCCCGACGGGCGCTGTCTCTCACCGAAACGCTCACAGGTGGGTTAGCTCCGCCCCCCAGGTTTCAGATAACAAACTCAGATCTGATCATGTGACTTGTGCCATCCCTCCCCAACAGGAAGCTCCGCCCCCCCGCGGCAGAACTCCTCCGGTCCTCAGAGACGCATCGATCAGCCTCCGCCGCCGTCCTCGGCTCCTCCCTGTCCTCCTCGAGGCCGCACCCCTCCCAGCATGCTGAGTGGCGGAGGCTCCGCCTACCCGCCGCGCCCCGCCTCCGGCAGCATGATGTCGTCCAGTCCCGACTGGCCGAGCGGCGGTCCGTCGCGGCTCAGGCAGATGTCCTCGTCGTCCAAAGGCGACAGCCCGGAGAAGCAGCGGCCTGCCGCCAAGGTAGCCAGCCTGTTGCCATGGTAAACAGCCTGTTCAGGTGTGTTCAGGTGTGTTCAGGTGTGTCTGTGGTCCTCAGGCTCCGTCTCCCTGCGCGTTGGACCGGACCGCCGCCTGGCTGCTCAACATGAACTCTGCTTCCTCCTACGGCGAGACGGAGGACGACCGTCATGACGACGCCCTGGTGGAGAAGGTGAGGAAGACGTGCTGCCTGGTTCTGACTTGGTTCTGACCCGGTTCTGACTTGGTTCTGACCCGGTTCTGACTCGGTTCTGACTTGGTTCTGGCCCGGTTCTGACCCGGTTTGTGTTTTCAGTACCAGCAGGAGATCGCTCTGCTGCAGGAGAAGCTGCGTGTCGCCTCCATGCGACAGGAGGAGTGTGAAGCTCGTCTCCTGGTCCAGGATCAGCAGAACCAACGCATGCTGCAGGAGTACCAGGTCTGAGACTCACCTGACATAACAGGTTCACCTGTGCAGGGGCCTGGTCACATGACTCACCTGAGATAACAGGTTCACCTGTGCAGGGGCCTGGTCACATGACTCACCTGAGATAACAGGTTCACCTGTGCAGGGGCCTGGTCACATGACTCACCTGGTATAACAGGTTCACCTGTGCAGGGGCCTGGTCACATGACTCAC